TCTTCCGAACGAGATGGACTCAGGTTTAAGCAAAGGACCATTACCTTTCAGTCTGACAATTAATTTAATCCACTCTCTGTGTAGACACAGTAAAATCAGTGGGAGCTCTCTGCAGGCACAGGGGCTCCCAGGAGCGAGTTCCCTCTCAAATCAATCATCCACCCCTTGGCCTCCGAGTTAGTTCTGTGAATCCAGTCATACATTTTTAGGAAAGTAAATTAGGGTGTTTCTGTTTCCTTCCTTAGCAACAAGGAAAACACACAGACTGTGTGTAATCTCAAAATGATCCAAATGACTCAAACCACAGAAGTTTCCCTCTAAGAAAATGAATAATCCTGGTTTTCTTTTGCTGTTAGTGTTCCAGAGCCATCGCCCCATAATCTTAGTAATAGAAAACTGTACACAAATATTGATTCTGCCACCAGACAGAATTGTAACTACTGGATCACTTTTTTTCTCAAAGTAGCAAATAATACCTGTATTTAGTAACAAGTTAAACACATTGAGACATATCAATGTGGCTTTTAGAATTTATTCCTCTGTTTTGTATCAGCGTACAAGATACAATGACAATAAGATGAGAGTGTGATAACACATAAATAAATAAACTTCCCAAAATCCAGTGACAGAGAGTGCAAAACAGGACTTGGCTTTACCTTGTTTATACCTGTGCCTGTGGTAATCCTGAATGTTTCCAATATGACTCTCAGGGATAATCGCCGATAGATTTACTCCTTTCTTTGTAATCAGTCTCCAGCCCATGACTTCGGTTCTGGGGTCAGGAGTTAAAATCAGAGCCTGGTCCGCACACTGAGCGAGGGAACCGCCAGTGTCTCCAGCCTGCTCCCCGGGGACGACGGCCCACAAAGAGAGGTCAAGGCAAGGGGCGATGTTTACTTTCCTCCGGATCTTGTACAGTTTCAGATGTTTTTGTATGGCATCCAGCACGCTGCTGTCACACTCCAGCAGGATGTGCGGCTCTTCTTCTGGACTCTCGTGAAGCCTAAAAAAGTAACACCTACAAGGTCATAAAAACAAACCCCCACAGCAGTGGAAACCAACACACTTTATCTTGATCCTGCTGCGAATCCAGAGAGCTGGGGAATTTCACTGAATTTGAAATCCAAACTGGTGGTGCAGCACTGAGGAGAGGAGGATAATCTGTGCACTGAGCTCCCCGTAGTGAAATACCTGAACTTTTTCAACCATCCATTCCACTCTTTTCTAGCAAATTCTGCCCTCAATTTTCCCATGGACAGAAACAGGTCTGACCTTGCAATTTTCTGTACCAGTCACACTTAGCTAAAGTGAGGCGACTTTCA